TTTTTTTTTTGTTTGTTTGGTTTTCCTACATCACTCCTTAATGGTCATAAACCTTTCAAAGATGAAAAACAGTCCCAGCATCTTGCAACAAAACACCTTCAGGTGTTTTGTTTTTTACAGAAATGAAATGCTGTTAATAGCAAGCCCAGAATTTCTAAGTCTGATTGCCCTTGCATACCTATGAGAAGAGTATGTCCCAGAGGAGACTTTAAGGTGCAGCTGCCAGGAGTTGAACCTGCTCTCTGAGCAGGGTCTGCTACAGCAGGGGCAGGCAATGAAGGAAGATATGTGTCTTCAAGAAACAATTCAGAATCTTATAAGTTTTTCTTGTCAGACCTACCCTGACAGCGTATGAGTTGTTTTTCATTGCTGTTTCAAGTTCAGCAGGAGATATGGTGTATTCCAGGGCTGAGGGGCTGTTAGTCCAGTGCACCTAATTTTTTTTAATCAACTTCTTTCCTGTACTGTCATATGCATTCCTACCCTAATGGCAGAATGCTAGTGCATGGTACAGCTTATTTATACAAAGATTTAAGGGGTTTTGTTGTTTGCTTCAATGTGAGTGATTTCATATTTACAGTTGGTATTGTGTGTTGGAGCAGATGACGTTGGAAAAACAGTGAGGGACCCTGAGTGCGTGCAGTTAATGCTGCCATCAACTAAGCCCCAGTGCTGCTGAGCAGTGGCTCTTGGAAACTCCAGTGGTTTTTTTTTCCTTACTTCCAAGCACTCTCAATCCTACTTGTTATGTTCTCATCTTATTCACCACCCCATCTGTTTTGCTTTGGCTTAATGCCAGTAAAGTTCACGTTGGGAACAGCTAAATTATGCTTAAATTCTATTTACAACTATTTTTCATTTGTTTCTTCCATGCAGGTATCGGACAGGGAGATTGATCTGATTTCTAGGCTGCAGTTACTGGGGTTACTTCTTTTGCTTTTGCAGTTATCCAGTTTGTCTCACCCAAAAAAGCTGTAGTTTTCATCAACTTCCTTTAACACCATTGGGATCTGCTCTTAACGTGGATCATGCTCCTGAGGTGGTTACAGTGGGTCATGGGTTACAGAAGTCTTAATAAACTTGTTCTGATTGTTCACATTTGTAGATTTCTGGAGGTAAGGATGTGTCCTGAAATAAAGTGACATATTGTAATTCCTCCACAGTGAGATTAATTCGCTCAAGATTATCCGGGATCCTTAGTAAGATGGTGAGAGACAGACTTGCATAGCTTTGTTCTGCTGTTTAATAACCACCTCACATCTGATGAGTTTTCAACTTGATGTTTGTGTGAGTTTGGCTGTATTTTGAGCACTCCTGCCACAGTATACTGAGACTGAAGTAAGCTAACATAGGAAAGATCTCGTGTATTCATTAGGAATTTCCACAGGGCATGCTTGTTATTTCTAAGTTTAGTTTTAAGAGTGCTGTAATTCTGTGAAGTTAGGAAATATTTTTTGCAATAAAGCTGTTTAAAATTTTACTTGCATGAAAGAAAAGCTTGCGAGATAGGCAATCTGGTTATGTATATTTACTTTTTGGTCTCTGACCTCCTGGAAGGGATGAAGGAGACATATGTGTTATATATACACTCCTGCTGAAAGTACCTCATCAAAAGACAAGTGTGGCCCTTCTGAGTCATACCACGGGTCCATCTAAGGCTGGTATCCTGACCTAAGTTGGTCAAGAATGGATATCTAAGAGGATAAGAGCAGGGAAAGCATATAAAGTGACTACTCAGAATGCTCTTACAACCTTCAGTGAATTGGTGAACATGGTTTCTCGGATTTCTTTATTGTAAAGGCCAAGACTAAGTTTATAAAACTATGAAGATTCTCCCTTGTTGGCTCAAAGAGAGAGCAGTATGCAAGAGCTGATTTCACACTTCTTCATGCTGAGGTTGGCCAAGAGACAGGATTTGGTCCTGCTGTTGTCACTGTTTCTTTCTCACAGCTGCTTTCATTTCTGCTTCACTTGCTGTTTCTAGGAAGGCAGTTTTACAGTGTCTTAAGGTTGCTCAACTCTCTCACATGTCTTCCTGGGACAGAAATGCAAAAATTTCATGACATCCTGTACTTTTGCTATGGGAAAAGGCAATCTGAAAGTACTTGTTTTCACAGTCACTATATTTTAAATTACGTCTCTTTACATTCAATGGTTGACACATTTTAAAGGCAAGAAGAGTGGTGCAGATATGTCAAAGTTCATATGCTTGGTCACCATTTGAATCAGGAAGAGCTTTGCTGAATTTGGAGAGATATCCTTCCATCTCTCCTCTAGTTCCCTGTAACACCACTTAATATTTAACATGTAAAAATGGTGCTCTCTGCCACATATTGGGGAAGACAGGTAGTGCCTTATCATTCCCCCACTGACCATCCCTTGCCACTTCTCTTCTGTTAGCAAATTTATCTCTAGCATAGAGCTGACTACAGGCTTTGATGCCAGTCAAACAATATTTACACTATACTTTATTGATTTGAAAGGCATTACAATAATGCGTAAATTAAAAGCATAATTTAAATATGCTGATGGTTTCTGCACAAGGCTGACTTCATCCCTTCTTTTGCCCTTTCTTTGTAATGCTTCTGGTTAATGTGTTATACCTTGCTATGGATGTAGGTTAATGCTTCAGTGGTGCTCTAGTAAACCCTTTGCCTGTAGGTCCGGGCGTGTTTCTGCAGTGTTAGTACTGCCTCAGGAATAAGTTTTGATTCATGCTGCTTTGTGCTGCTACTGTGATGTAAAACAGCTTGAAATTCGTCTTGGGCTGTAATTAAATTAGCATTTTGTTTGGCTGTATCGCTCTGGCTGTACCGGAGCACATCTGCAAACTTAGTTCTGTAATTCCACATTGCCAAATGGCTGCTGTTCATGGTACTGCCTGGGAGAATTTTGTTCTGTTTCAAACCCAGTGAAGATACATGTTATTCCTTGAAATAACAAACATGTTATCTTTGTTCACATACATTAAAACATTGATAAAGGAAAGTGGAATAGTGCACCAGGGAAAGCAGTTGTACCTTGCCTAGCTTTGAGTGCTCATGGACTTTCATGCTCTGTCTCTCCTCTAAAATTATTCCTCGGGATTGCTTTCCACCACAAGTCACTAGACTGAAATTTGATTATGCACATACATCCCTAAAGTGATCTGAAGAGACCTTCAAGATTAGGGAGGGGATACTTTCCTCTGTACCTTTGTGTTAATGTTGGGAGTTTTTATGTTTTTGCAATGTTGAAAGTTTGGGGCAGTCTATAATTAAATGACTTTTCTTTAAATACCGGAAGAAAAGCCAGCCTTAGAAGAGATTTCTGCAGGGGTTCTTTCTTCTGTGTATCCTGCAGTGATGTGTAGGAAGGTTGGGCGCACAGTGTATACAGAGTACACTGGGAGCTTAGGGAAGACCGGTTCAGATGTTCTGGTGAACATAAAGGAGCCTGGGAATGGCATTTGACTTGGTCATTAGGAAGAAGCACAAATGTCATGCTACCAAGCACAGCGTGTATTTTCTCTTTCCAGTTTCTTATTTCAGTACCTGGTGACTGAAAGGGCAGCTGCCCCACACAGACGCAGGGACTCTTTCACTGAGAATTGGGAACATTTTGCAGTACCTTTCTTCTGAATCTCTTTAATATTCAGATTTTTCTTATGTCTCTTCTAGAATTTTGATTATCCTTCAGCAGATGTTGGATTTCGTGAATGTTTCTCAGCAGCCTTCTTACTGAGTTAGTCTGCTGCTATTTTTTTCCATGTAGCTATCTTCTGTATCTAGAATGAAATCTTCTTTTGTGAAGATTTGTATAAGATCTCTTTGAGATCTTTTGTTCATGTTTTGTTTGATCGTTTTTTATGTCTTGCACTTTTGACATACTTCTGTCTGTGCTTCCTTTTGCATACTACATGCTGGTCACTTTCTAGCTTTCCCTCTGAGCCTTTCTGTTGTAGGGAATGAGTTCTTTTCTCTACTTGAGCTCATAATTAACTGGTGACTTTTTCCTTTTTTTTTGTGCCCAAAGAAGTATAATGGTTGAATGGCCAGCTCTAGTATTTTTTTTTAAATTTGGTATTTATGTTGTTAATCTAATTTAAGTCTGCAACCAAAGTGCTATGGTAACACTCATTTTTAGGAAGGAAGATATTTCCTGTTTTGAGGGAAGGACAACAGAATTGCCAAGATCCATGCTTAGTAAAAGATCCCACCTATTTCTAAAGCCAGTAAAATATCTTAGGAAGATCTTTTATTAGTCCTTTTTAAATTAATTTTCTTCCAGGAAAGCAGAGTTAATGTGTTTCAGAAAGTCATTTTTGTAGAAAATACATAACATAAAAACTTAAAATTAATTTCAGCATAGGCTTTCTGGAGCTCTGTATAAAAGCAGGAAAAAAGGGCACGAGGCAGAAGAGAAACACCGTAGGCACAAGTTATTTCTCTGTATTTTAATTTGATCATCTGATATAATATGGCTTCAGCCTTTTCTGACACTCCCCATCTTCTATGCTTGGCTGTTCATTACAGTGATGTGTCTGTACTCCTGGTTCTGTAAAGGCCTTCTACCCTATTCAGATGCTTTTAGGCTTATTGAATGCAATACCTGGCAAACCTCTCTGATTTGTGTTGGATGTCATCCACTGAAAATACAAACTGCGTAGGTAGCAGCTGCTCTGCTAAAGCAAGACCTTTTTGCCTGGTAACTATAACAGCCCTTGCAGCATTTGGTTCTCTATGTGCTGTTGACTGTCGGGCCCAGGAGCACTGTCCTGCTGCAGGGTGTAGCTGATAACTGTCACCCTTTTTGTTTGTGCTGCTGACTTGAAAGCATGGTTGTGTCTGTCAGGTTGGGCATGGAGTGAGCTCAGGTGTTTGCAAGGTGAGTTTGTTTTCTTTCCTAAGAGACTGGTTCTCTTTTAGTCACACGCAAAACCTGTGGAAATATAGCATGTACTTATATTGTGACCTCTAATCGTTTTGTCATTTTTTCCCCCTGCCCCTTTTTTTCCCCAGATAAATGGCTCATTTAAATTGGGAGCTACTGAAATACTCTCTGGCTGGCAAATGCAGTGCCTAGCAGCAGTCATCAAGGACGAACCAAACATGAGTGGTGGAGGGGAACAGGTCGACATTCTTCCGGCCAACTACGTGGTCAAAGATCGTTGGAAAGTGGTGAGTAGCTCCAGTTTTGTGCTTCCTTAACGGCTCAAACAGACCTCCTCCTCCTGTAGTAGTGCAATAACTTGTCTATTTAATCCTGGCCTCTGGCAAGCAACGGTGGAGTGGTATGGTTTGACATGTTAGCAAGATACTGCAAGAAGGTTGATTATCACTCTAGTGGTTTTTAGAGTGTCTGGTATTTTCAGAAGACTAAACCTGCCGAGGATTTTTAGGTAGGATTGAAGTGTTGAAGCAGGCTGAATAATTTTTTAGCGAGAAACTTAGATTTTGAGTTACTGTGCCAAAGAATACTGCAGACAAGTTTATAAATAAATCGCATTACAATAAAATAATGTAAATCCAAATGTGTAGGGTTGGAATGTCAGCTACTTCAATAGTCAGAAATTCCATAGTTAACTAGCTGGTACAACATCTGTGTAAATTTATTAAGATACTTTTTAAAATTATATAATTGTTATGAGTTTTATTTCTTCATGGGACAACCATCTCATCTGTTGTGCGAGCTGGATGGGCTTGGCTTTTAAGATGGTGAAAAAAAATTTAAATCCCATGTGTGCCATTGTCTCCATTTTTAACTTGGAATACCAGCACTGTCTGAATCCCTAATCTCATAGCAGAAGCCTTGCTAGTTTGAAGTACAAGTGATTTGTAGTAGTAGCACTAAGTTGTTCTCTGTGCTGACTCGCTGTGGTACAGTGGCCCTGCGAGTTTTGCAGTGGAATGTGAAGCACAGAGAACTAAAAAAATTCTGGACCCTGAATTCACTTCAGTTCCAGGCTGTGGATAAAATATTTTCACCAGCCTACATCAGACAATACATTATCCTTTCATTAGACTTGACCTGGACAGTTCAGCCTTGCTCTGTTCTTGTTGCTCTCTCATTTCCTGCCTCTCTTCACTTTGCTTCCTGCTTTCTCCACAGCCTTTGCTTTTTTGTCTGGCCTATCCCTTAACAGCCTATTTATATTCAAGCAATTCAAACTGCTCTTCATTGTCCTTGCTTCTTGAGAGGGAATGGAGAATCTCAGTTTTCTCTGTCATTAGACACCAAAACGGAGACAACCTCCATTCGCACCCCAAAGCTTTCTGGCACAGCTGAAGGAAAGTCTTGCTGTACTCTTGAAGCTCTGGTCTGGAGCACATATACTTGTTTTAGAAGAATGATAAATGTGCAGGTGAACTGACATACAGAACTTGAAACATGCTCTGTGCTTACCAACATCTCAGACAATACAGGTTGCAGCTTTTGTCTGTCCCTCCCTGCACAAATGGAAATTTCCCCAGAGACTACAATTTGGTCAGATTGGTTCACGCTCTTTGCAAAGCTGAATTTAGACACTCTCCTGATGCCTTTGCTTTAAGTGCATGCTGGCAAACACACATTCTTCCTCAACATGAGGAAGAACTTCTTTACACTGAGGAGGGCAGAGCACTGAACAGGCTGCCCAGGGAGGTTGGGGAGTCTCCCTCTGTAGACACCTTCCAAACCCACCTGGACACCTTCCTGTGTAACCTGCTTTAAGTGACACTGCCGTGGCAGGGGGGTTGGACTAGGTGATCTCCAGAGGTCTCTTCCAACCCTAATGATTCTGTGATTCTGTGTTTTCCTTTACTCTAGCTAGCTTTGGTTTGTGCCATTCCCTATTCATCAAACTTCGAGTTTCTCCTTCATAGACAGGAGTGCTAAAACTTCTGTAAATGACGGGAGTGTTTTCGTAGCACGGTCTAAACAAAGTAACTTTGTTTTTGGAAACAGCAGAACTCTTAAAGGCACCAAAAGCTACAAGTAAAGTCTAAAATATGCTGTTATTCTCACAGGGGAATATTTAAAACTAATTTTAAAGTTGGTAGAGGCCCTAAATGTGGGGTTCAGTGGTTCACTGTTGCATGAATCTGTGACTGGGGACATCTAGAAGGTCTACCCACTAATTCTGCCTTAGAAAATACAAAAATGTGCAACTGTATTGTCAACAACAACTACCTCAAACTAGAGGAATAGCCTTTTATATTTGATAATGTTGGCTCACAGTAGCCTTCAATACTGCAGTGAGGTCATTGCCCCACTTCAAGGCTCTGAGAAATGGCATGCCTTGCTAAAGGCTGTAAATAGCGATGAGAAATTCTTATTCCCGCCTCTGAGTAGAAGTGGGAATTTGGCCTTGTGCTAGCTGAGTTGAGCACTGTCAGCCTTCATTGAACAGTCATTCCTCCCCACCAAAGAAGTGCAAGATGCACAGTCTTTCCTTTTAGGCAGGCCTTCTGTGCTGTCCCCTTGCTGTGCTTGATGTTGGTCAGAACCACAAGCTGTGTGGGGCTCGGAGTAATCTGGAAAAACTATGAAAATACCTCTTTTGGCCCAAGGATAGGGACAGCATGGGATCAAGTGACAGAGGAAAAACGGACTGCACCTTAAAGTGAGCATCCCACATTACAGCTGTAACATTGCATCACAGACCTTTCTGAGTCTAACCCATAGTGTGCAAGCTGCATGGTCCAAACTTTGCTGTGGGCGATGGATCCTGCTCAAGCAGGTGTGTGGCATATTTATGTGGTGCTGGGGTGCAGCTGCCAGAAGGTCTTTTGTATAATTTGTCCTCCCATTGTCATTGTCTCTGACTGGGCATCTGCTTGAACCTCGTAGCTCTCAGTGCTGATATACCTCCAGTATTGAGCCAATTTCTAATTTTAGATTGGTGTAATGTATTCGTTGAATTCCTTTCCTTCTCTCTTTTTATATGCTGGTTGACAAAGCTTTGACAAATGAAGATGTTAATTCTCTGCAGTTGGCCTCTTGGTTGTTCATTTTCCTGTCACTTGAAGTCAGTAAAATTTGGCTGTCTGACAGCAGTAATATTTTTGTTCTTATTTATGAGAAAAGACATGGACAGGCAGGGCTTATGGTTTTTATCAAAACTTTTGGACTTAGAAGGGGTGTTCTTTTGAGTCATCATTCATTACTTGCAGGTATTTTTGATGCTTTCACTGGATGAAATTTAGAGAGTACTGGGACCACATGACTTTTACTGAGTCCCCAGAGGGTGACTTGATCCACATGTGCTCTGAATGATGTAAACAGCTTTGTTGAGGGGAGGGGAACAAAGACCAACATAACTTGTGCTTGCTTTGAACTAGGGATAAATGTGGATGCCTTAAAGCTGAATTGATGTCTCTCTTTGTTTCACCTAAATGCTTTTTATTGGGGATTCACAAATGAGAGTTATTAGTGAGACAGAGTTGGCAGCTCCTGCACTGAGCTTTGAATGTAAGTGTTGACTCATGTACATGTTCTTTTGCTAGGTGCAATCCATGCTTTGTTTTCTTTCAGGTTTCTGAGGTTCTTGAACTGAAGCTCTTCTGTCTAGCTTGGAAACCTTGCTGGAAGGCCCACACTACTGTAAACTCTTTACCTTGTCTGTCTCACAAGGGCCATTTATGATTCCAAGACTGAACCTGGGACAAGGAAGGTTCTTTTTCAGTCTTGGGGCCTGTTTTGGTCTTACTCTGAATTGCTTTAAGTGGGCTTTGAGAGGTTTTCAGGTGATTTAGAATGTGGCTGATTGGCTTCTTGGTTGCCTACTCAGTTCATGGTGCAATTGCATGCTTGTTATACATGAGTTCGTTTCCCTTGAGATCAGATCCAGTCCTTTTGAGCAAGCTGAGTGGACTCATGAGAGTCTGATGAATGTAGGTCAACTCAACTCGTCCTCACCTGTTAAGTCAGATGAGGCCTTCTAGCCATTTTCGAATCAAGGAGCCCATTGAGTTGGGCTACAGGAGTTGTAGGCTTGACTATGCAAGCACTCCTAAAAGGCAGTCACTGTTTGACCTTGTCAAACATTTGAAGCCTGTGGATGACAACCTTGACCCTGGCTGAGTTCACTGTAGATTGCTGGCATTTTGTTTGATCCTTTGCTTTGAATTCAGAGCACAGAGTCTTGTTCCTTGACCCTGCCACCGATCCTGAGACTGAACCACTGCTGCCTTGGTTATCCTGGGAAGGTCTGGTCTTTATATAATATCTTTGGAAGGCAGACTTTGTTTAGAGCAGTAGTGTCATATATGCTTCTGGAATAAAAGATTAAATTTGTAATTCAAAGCTATTTTTTGTTGGGGTTGTGTGTTGCCTTGGTTTTTTGAACTGTCTCTCTGAGAATACTGATTTCTGCTTAGTGAGAAGGCTGTCTGTTGTTTTTGTTGTTGGATTTTTATAGGCTCTGGAGGATTGTGCTACTAGAGGCTTTTTCAGGATAAATCCAAAATAATTCACAATATTTAAAGGAGACTTCAAAGACAGCCATCTGTGTCCTGCGTAACTACTGGTAGTCTGTGTGCAAGTCCAAACCTGTGTTTGATCAGATGAACTGTTCACTTGACCCCACAGCCTGTAATGGAAACCTGGCCACTCGACTCATGCACAGGGGCTTGTGCATTTAGGTAGAATGAATCCTGCTGGTTTTGTCAGCCTGTATCCCAGTCTTAACAGTAAATGGGCTGGTGGAAGGTAGGAAACAGGATGAGAATAGAATATTTCTGGGGCTTAGCATAGATTGATGACTCATGTTTACAACTCAGGTCATTCTAGGTAGATGTTTCATTCTCTTTCTTGACTGTGTGTTTGCAGTTTCATTATTGGTTTTGGGTTTTTTGAGTGGTATATGCCCATCTCTTCTCTGTGTCCAGCAGAAGGCTGTGCTGTGTTCACCTTAGGCAGTGAACTCCCACAGAATACCCAAGCAAGGAGGAAATGCATGTGTCATAAGCCCCTGCCCTCAGCCAAGACCGTGAGTTGCAATAGCTTCCTCTGCAACAAAGAAAAGGAAATGGCTGCTGATGGCCTCTGGGTGTTGCTGAAAAATCAAGGAGGATGGCAATGCTGGTAATGTTGAATAGAACCATCTAGTGTGCTGGGAAAAGTATGCCGGAGAATAATTTCCATGAGAGGGTAAGAAAGGATGCGAGGAAGCAAAGGCAGCTTTGACAGCATTCCATTGGCTGGAACGTGTGTATAAAATCAGTTTTCTGATTCAGCAGAAGCTCCGATCTTGATCTCGTGTCATATTGCATTTGTTTCTCTATAGACTTTTCTGTTTCTTCCAATTTGGCTGTTTTCCCAGGTGTGCAGTCTCAATACTGTACTTTTCTTCTTGAACCTGCTTCTATGATGCACGCGTTCTTTTGCTTTTTCTAAGGTAGTAGTCCTAGTCTGTCCTTAGTTTTTCCAGGCTCCTGATCATTCTTTTACTCCTGAAATCAATGACTTCTAACTCAGTGAGAGCCTCTAGCAGCAAGGTGTTCAATATTTTCATTTTATGTGACTAGACCTTCCTACAGATCCTAATAGTGTCACTGTCGTAGTCATATTACTGTGTTGTTCCATTTATTCTAATACTTTTACATTTTGACAACTGTGTTGGACATCAGAACTGTTCCTTTTAGGGCCAATGAATGGAAAAGGATCATTATGTTTGTCTGTGCTGACTCAGCAGTTTTTCTTCCCAGATCCATTTCTTGGGTTAAGTACCCACTGAGGTGCTTAGGTAGCCTTTATTTCTTCTCCATCCCAGCTATGCTGGGCTATATTTATTACTGTTGACTTTTGCTTGTTATGTTACCCATGTTCCAACAGAGAGTTTTTTAGTCTTCCTCAAAGTCCTTCCAGATCCCAACTAAACTTTTTGCCTTCTGTACCTTTTCACTGTCCCTTTCGCTTTCTCTTTTGTGTCATTAATACATCAGGCAACAGAAGATCTTGTATACTGAATCCTGAGGTATTAGCTGGCATGTTGTTGCTGTGCCAAATGTAGCATTGTTTTGATAGAAAGATTTTTAATAGCCAGCTTACTTAGTGTGAATTTCCAAGTAGAAGTAGGGCTGCACTGTAATTATTTATGAATAATATGTGGTGACCTAGTTATTGGGCTGTTTACTGTATGAATGTGCCTGTTTAGCCCAGTGGAAGGTTGTGAGGAAAAATGTCAAAAAGAAGAATGTCTCTGGATAGCAGCTTTTGTAGGGTTTTCAAGAAATAGCCTCAGAGACAATAGTCAGGCTCTTAATATGGAAAATACTTCCTTCTTCATGTGGAACTGTTTTTCTTGACCTGCGAGCCAGAAAAGCAAATGATTTTGGGTCACCTTAGAAGGAAAAAAAAATCCTGCCCTTGGTAGGCAGGGCCCTTTGTCCAGCAAACTGCAGATGCACAGGACAGGCCTTCTGTGGTGCAGAAGACACTAATATATCATCTAAACCTCATTAAACACTGCGTAAGATCCATGTTTGACTGTGTGACTGAAACGTCTTTTTCTCTTGGAGTGTTATTGCTGCTGTTGGAAAGAAGCAGCGCTCAGGGCTTCCAGAGCAGTTGCTAACCCAGAGGGAACACAAAATGCTGAAGGGAAGGGCTGCAGCTAGGTTCAGTGAACAAGGGCTAAGCAGATCAAGGGATCCCTGATCTATCTTTGCTGTAACCTTGAATTTCTTCCTGGACAGCACAGTGTGCTTTAAATATATCCAAGAGAAACAAATATAAAATAATTTTCCTGGCATAGACATTGACACTTGCAACACATTAGGAGTCTGTCTTATACATGCTCATATATAAATATATGCACATATGCTGTCAAGTCTCAGCAGAAGGAGGATCAAGGAATCACCTTCCAGGAAAGGCAGAGGATCCCGACTTGCTCTCTTGAGTGGGAGGCTACTCTAGAACAGGCAGATGATCTGTCTCTAGTAGGTACATATCAAATATGCTGAAACTTAGACTTCTTTAGCTTTGAGTTTATGTCAGCTGAAGTAGTGAAATCCTGTTGTGAAACAGTCTTTAATTTTGCTCAGAGATACAAAAAACATGATTTTGTTGGGCTTCAAACTAAAAAAAAAAAAAAAATTGAGCAAGAGAATGAGAAACAATGAAGCTGCATGGGTGGCTTGTGTGCAACTGTTTTGAAATAATGCAGTTTACAGTTCTCTGAAATGTGACAATGAAGCAACTTCACTAGCAGAGCAGGTCAAGCATCTTGTAAAATATTTCTGTGGATGTTTTGTTCTGTGTTTAAAATCCTTTGAATGAGATGTAAACTTAACTTATTTCTTAGTTCCAACTACTGTGGTTATATTTTACTGCAGAAATGTATTTGTTGTGAAGGAATGACAGTTTTTATCTACCATGGTCTGAATAGTGGTTCTGCTACCTCCTTGAAGTGTCTTTCCTTGAATTTTGGCAGGAACATTACAGAGATAATAGGCATTACCATTTGCTTTTAAATGTATCACATGTCATTACTTGCTAGGCTTGTTCTTTGTTGTTATAGCAAAGAATTTATACATAGCACAGTCAAGTGGGTAGCTGGACTTTTGCCTAGCTATGCAGTTAAGGGATTCAGCCACAGCACAGATTGGGAACTGAGCTTGTTCTCTCTACACAGTTAAGAAGCTGGTGCCTGGCTTTGTGGGAGCCAATTTTATGTTCTCTGTCATGTACATTGTACTGAACATCTTTGTACTTTTCTAGTTGAAGAAGATTGGTGGTGGTGGCTTTGGGGAGATCTATGAGGCGATGGATTTGCTGACCCGTGAGAATGTGGCCTTGAAGGTTGAATCAGCCCAGCAGCCCAAGCAAGTTCTCAAGATGGAAGTGGCTGTCCTGAAAAAGCTGCAAGGTAAGGCAGAAAGGCCTTTGGAAGCGCTAAGTCACTGTGCATGTTAACAGCTGGAATCCAAAGTTGCAAATGGTTTTTATAATTTTCTCTTCAGCTTTCATCTATATGTAGTGCTATGTTAAGTCATTCGGCTCAGAATGTTATTACATTCTGCAGCTCCAGTAAGTTCCAACAACAGGGACTACTTTTGTCTGCCAGGCTGTGAGAACAATTAGTAGACTTAAAGTGAGTTAGCGGTACACTGGTCTCTGCAATCTAGTGATACTGATTAGAAAATAAGAAATAGAGGAAGCAGCATCTGACTAAGAAATGAGGTTAGCTGATTGCCTCACAGAGGACCAGGAACACTGTAAGCATGATGGAGTCTCCAAGTAAAACGGTTGACTATTAGATGAGTGCAAAAACTGGATAACACAAAGTATAGGGAAACTGACAATTAGCTAATTTTTCATTACCTTGCTGTTCTGAAGGCAAAGTGTAAAGTGATGTGTCTGTTCTTAATTTTCCCTAACACAGCTTTATATTGGTTTGGATGTGGAAGTCAGCCTTGGGATCATCAATTTCTATGGCTGAACCTGGCAAAGCTTTTAAGCAGATTTCAAACTGACTGGGAAGCAGCAAAATGGGAGCCTTCCTTGGCTCATATCCAGCCCTGCTGCCATTGAAGATACTACACTGAAGAGGGACTTGCTTTATATCAGGGTGCTGTTTTCTGTTTGGTGATATGAAACTATAATAAATAGGGCTAGAAGTTCAAAGTTGCTTTGCTGATCTTTGAAGTCTAGGGTGAAAGAAAGCAGACAGTATCCCAAAGGCTTTTGCAATCGTGATGAGATACATTTTAACACCAAAGGGTGCAAGGGAGTTGTCTTGCTGCAGTTGTTCCTGGCTGAAGGAACAGTAAAGGAAGGGGTCTTCTATGAAAAGCTGAACATCTATGGGAGGATGTAAACAAGGAATTTCCAAATCTGCCTTTGAGGGACTGAGAGCTGCTGTTTGCTGAAGTGCATTGTGCATGGCTTTGCTTGTTAAGGCAAGGCCAGCTACTGACAGGAAGAGTTCCTGTGTTCTGGTATAATATGCTTTTGAAGGGATGTTGCTTTTTGCAGGATTCCTGCTTGGGCTGAGGAATCCCCTTCTGTTGAAGCAGTGAGTAGGACCCTTATCATTAAGGCTCGTGCTTCAGAGCTAGTGTTGTGGCCTTATGTTTGTGTCTCTACCTCTTCTCTTGTACAAAACCTCCAGAGATATGATTGAATTAGAGGGTGAGACTGTTGTGGGTCTTGTGAGACGGGTTACTCAATATTTTTGACAGATTGCCTCTAGGTAAAAGTCACTGAATTATTTTTGAAGGTCAAATAGTTTTCCACGTTTCAGGTCTTCTAAGAAGAGAACTGATAGGCCTCTTTTGAATATACTGTGTTGTGATAGATGCAGCTGAGCTGTGTAAAGGAGAAATCAACCCAGGTCGTTAGAGGAATCTTGCTATTGAGATGTGAAAGGCCTGGATACACAAGTTCCCAGAGAACAGCAAAGCAGGTGTTTGAGATCTGAAAACAGTGGGCTGAGGGCAAGCCAAGGCAGTGATTGAGATTTTTTAATTTGGTTATGCACTTGGAATTTTCTGAATTGACTTCAGGGTATGACTGTGTAGAATGTTGGATATTACAGTGCCAAGAGACAATGCTATCACGCTGGCTAGTGCCAATATGTGTTATATCCAGGGCAGAGAATGCTTGAAATGTGTGACCTGAGATCACCATGTCAGGACTAGCATCAGAAAATGTGCAAGGCATTGACTAATACATGTGTACTGCCATCAGTGTTTATTTCTGGGAAATAGTTGAGAATACCAAATGCTTGAAAAAACGCCCACATTTGTACACACCATGATGCTGTAATTGGGAAGAGGGAGTGGTGGTGTGTAGAATTAGGACAAGTCCCCTGGCAACGCAGTTAGTAAATATTAAGGGACAGAAAAGACCAAAGAAGCAGATTTGGCTATGCATCAGCTATCCTGCATTTAAGAATGACACATTACTTCAACCATAGTTTTACAAATCAAGCTGTTCTGTGAAGAATTTAGCTTTTTTTGGGTTCAAGGTTAATCCCCAAATGCTTTACAGAAATAAATGATAAAGTTAAAATAAGAAATTGGGTTGAGAGCATTGGGAATCGTCTATTGTGTATGTTTTCACAGTGAGTGTTGCAAAGAGGTGACTAACATTTCAGAAAGGGAAATGCTGCCTTTATCCTAAAATTGGTGGATGGAGGAAGTTGGTGGTGTTACCATAGGTGATACAGTCAATTCATGGGTTTCTAGTTGAAAAGCAAGGGAACAGTGTTGTCTAAAATTCCTCTGTATTTTTCTGGTAGAACTCAACATTGCAGTCCCTCTTAAATAGTACCCCGTTGTTTTCTCTTTAGGTGTCACAGCAACCTTAAAAGACTAATGAGCTGCTGCTCTTTTCAGAGCTTGTAATCAGAGTCTAGCAAGTTGCTAGAGCTTGGCAGAGCTTGGGATAGAGAAGACTGGCCATTAGCCCATACTGCAGACGTACCTCAGGACCTGGTTTGGGTACAGCCTGACCTCTTAGTGCAGTGTTCCTGATCAGTGTGGACTGCAGGCTGTTGTCAACAGTTAGGCTTTCTGGGGCACTTTGTGGAATAGCCACATAAGGAACACAGCTGCAGGTAGGCCCCTGCACTAGCAGTCCACACAGAACAGCTGGGGAACTAAGCAGATAATGACTCCTCGAGAGAACCTCTATTCCTTCGAACAAACACTGTGTGTGGTTTTCTGCTCTGAGGGTGGTCAAATGCCAGCACAGGTTACCTAGAAGGATGGTTGTGTCTCTGTCCTTGGAGATATTGAAAACTCAGCTGCATGTGGCCCTGGACAACATACTCTAGCTATCTCTGCTGGGACAAGGGGGTGGGCTAGACCATCTCAAGAGGTGACTTCCAAAACAAATGATTCTGAGATACTTGTGCTTGGCCATGTGAGATCACACGTGGTCATGTCAGTATCTCTTAACTGCTCTGTAGCGTCATTCTGTTCTGCTCATACTTGATTTGATTTTTCTAGCTGTATATTGCTTTTTCTTTCTGTGTTTAGATATTATATGTTTCCCAAAGGCAAAATTCCTTCTGACTTGCATTGTTAATTGCAAGGATCACAGATCATCTTCTGGCCAAAATTCCGAATCTATTTACTGTCTTGAGTGTGGGATACATCAACAATAGTGCCCTTTTACACTTAGGGTAAAACACGATTGAGAAGTCAGCTTAGAAAGTTTCTTGCTCAAGCAGCTGATGAGCTGAAGCCCTCGCTTGTCCTGTTGTGCCTTTACCCAAGAAGCTTTTAGCCAAATTTTTGTCTTTTTCATGCATTCCATCGACTGCGTTAGTCAAAATCAAAACTTTTTGGTCCCACACAGTTGCTATAGAATATTTCCTTGTTCAGGCTGGACTTGCAGGGCTCAGGGCATTCCGTCTGGTGCTACTCTATCTGGCCTTTTTATTTTCATCCTTGTCAAGCACTGTTTGGCTTACTGATGTCCTCACTACAACACAAGCAGGTGGGATCACCCATGATGCCAGGCCCCTTCCATGAAAACAAGTCTTTCTTTCCAAATCCTCGCCACGTGGTGGCATTAAAGCAACTACAGCTTATGAACTTGGACCTCTCTTTTGCTTGAGATCGCACCATGTGTTTACCCACTGCCTGCTGTAGGTGAAGTCCTCTGCTGTTTATCAACACCAGCCTGAGCAACCCTTTTGGCCTAACTACAGGAGTTGCTTGTCACTGCTGTCAGGCATGATTATCTTTGGCTTATCTGTCCCTTCCATGGATGGAATATGCAGGACTAAGTTTGCCTGGAGGATCAGAAAATTTTCCTTCCTTGAAGAAGGCTGCTCTGCAGCTCCTAGCTACCTGGTGTCATGAAGAGTCCAAGGAACCACCTTAGAGAATAGACTTTTGCAGTCATAGGTTCTTATATACATGCAAGTATGGAAATTATAGGAAAAACAAATGGTGGACAGCACTAAGGAATGTGTACATGTAGTTGGTAAGTATAGGGATAATAAAGTAAAAACAGGAAAAAGGATAACAATGAAAGATATGGGGGATTTTACACTATAAACTTCATGTATTTGGGGAATTTTGCTTTGGGTTAGTTTTAATCTGCCCCCCTGTCTGAGGCACCATTTGTTGGTTTGCTTTAGGATTTGGGGACTATTTGGTGTGCACCTGAAATGGAACTTCTGGGCCTGTTTGCTCAGAAAACCTTACATGACCCAAAGCCACTCTTCGAACACTGACACACGGTGGTTGTGATGATTGAAGGCAGTATGGGGATTTGCTGTAAAACCTCATTGCTTTTATAAACTAGGACTTTGAGGTTCCTGTTCTTTGGAATCATGAGGAGAAAGAATGGGATGATTTCCTATGATTGAACACATGGAAGGAAGAGTACTGTGACTTCTAGATGAGCAGATGTTTTTCCATCCCTTCAATGCTTTGCTGACCCTTTGAAATACTGATTTATTCTATTTCCTTTGAAATAGAAGTGGACAGAAACCTGCCTGCTCTCTCTGTGACTTTTCCCCACCCTGGGTTTGCTGTGGAGCAATATTCAGCTGGCCAAGGAGCGTTCGTGGAGTACCATCTGGACTCAGTTTCCCATCTAGGACATCTATGAGGTTAATCAAAATGCCACATCTCTGTTAGAACAGCCCTGGCATAGTTTGGAGGTGCTTGGCTTGGGCTGTCTCAGTCTGCTTTTCTAACAGCAGCCTTAACTGCAAAAATTGTAAACCAGTATCCCTGATTAAATCCAGTGGGCTGCTGCAGAGAGGGGCATGAGGAAACTATCTTACATGCCAAACCAGGTATTGTGTCCTCTCTAGGTGCTCACCTCAGGCTGTGTGAGGCTCAGAAGCAGATGCTTTGAATTCAAAAATATTTTCCCTGTCCTTACCTACTTCTTGATAGG